GAGACTATTAACCATTTATTTTTCGAATGCCAGTTTGCTGTTAATATTTGGACGTGTACCTCAGTTATCCCTACGACTTCACATCAAAATTTTGATGGTATTGAGTGGCTAGATGTGCTCCCTCACATGAAGGATAAGGATGGCTCGAATATTCTTTCGAAAGCTCTCCTTCTCTGCTGGCAAATTTGGGAGGCTCAGAACAACTGTGTTTTTAAAGACATTGCCCCTCATCCGATTAGAGCCCTTAATGTTGCTAGTCAGATTGGTCTAGACTATTGGAAAATCAACTCCATTTCTCCCCAGAAGCCCAAAGGTGAGCTTACTATCAAATTGAAACCGCCTCCCTTCAACTAGATAAAATTGAATTTTGATGGCTTGGTGTGTGACAACATGGCTGCTATTGGTTTCATTATACGGGACTGGAATGGTAATGTTCGGCTTGCCGGAGCCAAGAACTCGAGGCAGCTTTCGATCATGATGGCGAAGTGTTTGGCTCTTCGTGATGGCTTGACCCACGCAATCAACAATGGTTGGCGCTTAATTGAAGGAGACTCCAAACTCATCATTGACTGCATCAACAACAAAGTTTCGGTTCCTTGGACTATTCCTCTCTTGGTTCAAGACATAAAGCTGCTAAGTTCCTACTGTGAAGAGATTTCTTTCCATCATGTCTTTCAGGAAGCAAACTTCATTATTGATGCTTGAGCTAATTTAGGCCATAATTTGAACCCTTTCCACCTCTGGGAGCGGGGGCTTCCTTTAAGGTGCTCTGCTCTGTTTTATTTTGATTTAGTTGGGTTTGCGTGCCCTCGTGGTTTCCAGTTGTAAGATTTCTTTTTCAAAAATAAAAAATAACAAAATGACTCATTTGCTTATGTGGCTAGCCAACTCATTTACGTACTCCCTTCAAGATGCTCTAATACTTTTTCAAAGAATATTCCAAAGTTGCCCTTCACTTTTAAATTATTTACAGCCACCATCCATCGATCCGGTGAAGCAAAAACCCGGCCCGAAAACCATTCTTTTCCTCTCCGACGTTCATCTCCCTCCCCCGTTCTTTTTCCCCAGGCTTCTCCTCCATTCAGGTGACCATCCTTCATTTCCTCTTTCTCACCATTCTTAATTTACTCTTTTACTCTTTTGGGTTTAACTTTTAAGCAAATTTGTGTATCTTTTTTTGTGGGAATTCGTCGGCAATGCTTCTACTTCTTTCCAGTGTTTTTGTTTCTGCATTACAGCAAATGGGTAGGGTTGATGTTTTTTTTCCCTCTAATTAATTAATTTCCATGATTTTGAAGTGGTTGCGGAGCAATTCAGTTTAATATTTCCTCGTTTTTGTTTGTATAATTTATTTACTCGGTTAAATCAAGTTGCTTTTGTTGCCGTTTGGTAAGGAGGGATGTCTATGATGTTGGTGAAGTTATTATGATGATGGTTTTTCATATTAAACCTCGCCTACTAACTGTTTGATTAAATGGGTATGAGAATCTCTTTCAGTGACAGTGTTTGCTAAATTGGATATGCTTAACTCTTTATATCTTGCTACACTCGTATGCACAGGATTAGCCCGAAAATGCTTCTTTGGGATTTGCATGCGGTTGTCTCCACGCGCAAGTTTTGTTAAAGGTCATTGAACTTCTTAACACAGCTGATAGCCTGAGTTGCATTTGTTTTCATTGATGGGTTTAGGCTGCACCGGATGAAGCTTTTCTGGGTACTGCTTTTGCTCTTCCAGGGCAGAGGCATGGTACATTTTAGTGAGCAGCTGCTACTTCTGTTTGTAGGGTGTTTCTGACAAGCATTTAGAGATGCTTTTCAAAATTCAAAACTACAGTGACTTTAAAAAAAAATGTCGAATGAGATATATTAGATATAGCATTTCACTACTAGTTTTCTCACTGATGCTTTTCGAAAGCCACTGCAACAAAAGGAAATTGAATCTGGAGTCCACAATCATTTCCTTTCTTTAGGTTATCAGTCAGATTATTTTTCTTTGCAATATTAGTTGTTAGAAAGACAATCCATATGAGAATTCAGTTATTAATGGTTTTCTACGTGAACTACATTGTCTTTTCTTGTGCTTCACCTGCTTTGTGTGTGAGAGAGAGATAGAGAGAATCTTCAAGGACTGCATATAGTAGAGTATGCTTATGGTGAATTGAGAGAAAGTGATTTGATTTCTAGTAATAACTTTTCAAATGTCTCATACAGCATTCTTATGTGTGAATGGGTTGGGTTGTGAGGTAAGTTTTGAGAGGAGAATTAAAACATATAAGTGAAAAGATGAGTTGATCTGAAACATGAATATATTCAAAAGTTTTTTTTTCAGTGTCAGAGTAATTGCGTGCTTATAATATCCTATTGTATCTTAACTTCTTGCAGATTCTAAATTTAAATGGCAGCAGTGATGGATGGCTCATCTCAGGCTACACAATCTAATTCTGTCACAGGTTTAGATTCTAACAATGTCGAAAGGAGGATGGCAAATGATGATCAGCGCTTTCTCTTGTACTTCATTATGGGTACCTACTTTGGGCCTGGTCTTAAAGGAGAGAGCCCGCCAAAGTCAGTTTTGCAGAGAATAGCTGAGCGACTTCCACCATATACTTTTAAGCAACTAGGTGGATCCCACCTGAAAACTGCGGAGGTAGAGCAGGTGTACTACTATGTTCTTCGGAAGGCTGATAAATCTGCCATTGTTAAATTACCTGTGTTATACCAGTTCTTCCATGGTAACCTCCTTAGCCATCGAGAAGACACCACAGCCAATTACCCTCAGTTTCCTGATCTATTTCCTCTCCAACTCCACCCCAATTCACAGTTCAGTAACAGATACAATATCTTTGAGAACATTGTATTTATTAATAACCCAGAAATGCATTACATTAAGACAGAGGACATTGAAAGATTTAAGAGGCTAACTGGACTGGAGGAGTTTCTTCTGGATAGAGATGCTGCAAGGCTGCATACTTATGATGGAAGTGTTTTATATAATGTGTCGGTGCAGGAGCCGGAGTCCAATGGAGAGTCACCTCCCACTAGTTCTTGTCAAACTTCTAGGGGAACAAAACATTTAGATAATCTCGTGGAATCGAAGGATCCTCTGAAACATGTACATGTCGTGGCACCTATCAGTAGTGTGCCATATAACGGTTCGCCTATGCGGTATAGTTATATGGCCCCTTTATCTACTAAAGATGACTCTGATCCTGTGGAGAAGGTCGATCCTGCTATGATTTTTCTTCCTTCTCTTCCAACTAAAAGAGAGTGGTCCAATATTGTAGCTGCCACCAGAGATGGATTTGGTTTAACTGGGAGTGCAGCAAAGAGGCAGGTGGGACCAACAATAGGGCTGATTGACATTGGAGAATGTGAGGATTCATACTTGTTTCGTGTATCTCTTCCTGGAGTCCGAAGAGATGAAAGTAAGTTGCTCTATCAACTTAAAAAAATTGAATCAGTTACTGAAATGAAACGAATAATAAATAGATTTCCAGGTACTGAAACAGAAACTACACAGACATGCATGTATGTCTTTGTGCAGCCTTGTTAATAAATATAAAAAATGCTTAACCAATGATTCAAGACACATATTTCACTTTCAATAAACCACAGCAAAGTGGCGGAGACTTATCTCTCACATATGTCTGTCCGCAGCCACTTGTATGGCCTCTTCGATGCTAGCACTACAACTTGTATACTTCATTAACTAAACGGATGCAGAGTGATGATTTCATTTTTCACTACAGGGGAATTCAGCTGTGAAGTTGAAAATGAGGGTCGAGTGTTGATAAGAGGAGTGACAATGACAGGTGAGAAGACAGTCTACAGATACTCTCAGATGTTTGAAATGCGAACACAGAATCTTTGTCCGTCAGGGCATTTTTCTATCTCATTTCAGCTGCCTGGTCCAGTTGATCCTCAGGAGTTTTCTGGTAATTTTGGGACAGACGGAATTCTGGAGGGTGTTGTGATGAAACGAAAAGATGCCAAATATGCTTAACTAAAATTTAGTCAGTCCCTGTACATTTGTGATATTACCAAATTCTATTTCGTGATATAGCCGTTGAATGGATGCATGGTGAAGGTCAAATTCCAAGATGAACATTTCACATGCATACCTCGAAAATGTTAGGGCAGCCTCAGCTGATTTCATATTATTATATCCACATCAGCCAGCCTTAAAATTCTTATTAATCGATCCTTGCTAAGGGAAGGCTAATGTTCTTGAAATCAGTTAACTTAGTGTTTTTTTTTCTGTTTTTTGAGAGGAACTTTTCAGTTTCTTGATTTACTGATTTTGCCCAAAAGCTTGCAATTAGTGGTGGATATGCTAGTAAGCAAGTTAGTGATGTGCGATCTGAGGTCTAGCACATTGATTAGTAGATTGAATGGCTCCCGCTGATTTGGCAATTGGTTTACCCCGAAAATTAGAATTTAAGTAAATTTGTAACGCCATGTTGTGTTACCGTTACACAATTATTTTTCCAGGAGTTTGGCTCCCGATCAAAAGTACACTGAAGCTAGCATATGTCAAATAACAGAAGTTAAAGATGTCATCTATGCAAATCTACTACTTACTCCTCAAACCAACATCAAAGGATCCCCTTCCCACAAATTTAAACGGTGAAATAAAGACTCAAATGAACAAATGTCAAAAGAACTTCATTGGATACGACTGCACATATAAAAACTGCACTGTCGTTTGTTTCTCACCTCATAATTTACTCAAATCTTTGAAAAGAAACTAAACATAATCCCTTCACTGAGAAGCAGACAGTTGTTTCATCAATTCTTGTATTCAGATGCGAAAACAAAAGTTCGTATACAAAAACCTAGAGAAAATCTAACGTCCTATTCCAGTTAAACAGCTCCATTGTCCCAAAGTTCTATGTTTTCTTTGTGTAATATATGAACTACCATTTCATGCAAATCCGTAACTTAAACCTATGAAGGGGATGGCCGCACTTTCTTTCCTGTACTACAAGGTGTAGGTTATGGACAAAGAAGAAGTATGTTATGATACTATTTACACCACAGTGGATCCATTCATAACTCATCAAACATGTGCAAGGAACATAGCCACAAACATGGACAAAATGGAATCAACAACAGCTGAGTTTTTCGGCTATTTTTTCAACCAGAGCCTCTTTTCGTAACTTAGAATACCCTGTCAGCTTGATTTTCTGTGCCAACTTCCTCAGTTCAACTATTTTCTTGTTCTTCAAGCTTGAAATTGTGTGAGGAACCAAAGCCCCAGCGTAAGAACCATCTTCAACAGAGTAGGGTTCTATGATATGAAGATCTTCCGTTTTTTCATAGACTACAATCTGAAGATCTTTCTTACTCCCACCATCTGTTGCATCCTTGCGTGAATCTTGCAAATCCAAATCTACAGGCAAATCTTTAACCTCTGCAGTAAGTGGCAAAGTTGAAGTCCTTTTCCTCTTCTTTTGTGATGGTGAAGCTGAAACTTTGGTACTGTGAACTGATTTTTTCAAGTGCATCAAACTTAAAAACTGCTTTAAACTGGTGTTGTCATCATCAATTATTGATTTTCTTTCCTTTTTGGAATTTGGAATGAACGATGTATCTGTAGGAGGAAAACTTGGTTCTTGGACATTCTTCATACTGAATGGTGATTTCCTCTGTGTCTTTGGCTTTTGTGGTTCCAAACCCAAGTTCACACGGGGTTTCTTGTGGAGGTTAGCATTAGCCTTTTGAGATTCTTCTGCTGGTTCTCCTACATCATTTAACTTAGGCTTGGTTGAATCTTTACCCATCTGATCTTTTGAAGGCAAAGCAAAATGTCCAAGGTCAGTGAGACCACCTTCTTGAAACTTGACTATTTGTAGATTATTACTGACATCCCCAGCACCCTTTAAACATGTATTAGAACATACCGTCTTGTTAGCAAGAATAACCTTGGATTCTTTGATGCCCACTTTCCGTGCAGTTTTAGGAACAAAGTCAATTAGCTTTTGCTCTACATCAGATTTTTCATTTTTTCCGTGTCTTGAAGCACATAATCTGGATTCAGAACATTCAGTCCTCTTGTTGATGCTAGCAGATTGTCTCCAAGAATTTGGACTCATATACTTAACAAGAGTATTTGCAGGCTCCTAAAAGAAAGAGAAACATGCCTTATTACAAGTTAATGACCAGAGCAGGGGTATTGAGCTAAGAATTGTGATCCCTTGCAGTGCAGTCAGCCTGGTACTGCAACTACAGGTTTATAAACAAGGATGGTTCCCTAGGTTTTAAATTCTTAAGTAAGATAGTTGTAACTGACCATAAGAAAGTAAGATAATTGCTATAGAGAAGTAATTGTATATCTATTACAGAAAAGAGAGAGCTTCTCTTACCTTTTCTATTTTTTGATGGGTTGCTTTCCCTCCTTCCTCATATCCTTTTTCAATCAATCGAGGCATGCATGAATTTTTCATCTCATTCGACCAGCCCTTTGCGTATTTAAGAGAATCTGAGCTGAAATATTTCACAACACCATCTGCCGGCTGTTCAATTGAAATGAAAGAGCAAAAGAGAAACAAAATTTTAAGATCTACTGCAAAAATATTCCGTATAAGGAATAAGTCACACTAGGACCTTTTTATTCCTTCAGTTGAATTAAACTATGTGAAACATAAGACATAAGGTGCAGTAGTTGTAAACTCTTACAGTACATGATCATATTGACTATGTTGTACGGATAATTGGATACACATTAAGTGCAGATGTGAATTAACAAACAAAAGAGAGCTGCATGTACCTCAACTGTTCTATCAACATCTGTTCCACGTTTATCAGGCCTTGATGAACGTACAATATTTACCATAGGTATTGAAGTGTGTTCTCCCACCTTCTCACTCATGATTTTTGAATCAGAATTTTTCAATTTGTTCTTCTCATCAGGACAGCTGACACTTGTACTTGAAGTTTCTATAGTAACATGCTGTTCATTGTAAAATAAAACGAATTATGGGCGGACCATAAGTCATACTATGAACAACATAGTTGTTACCATTGCAGAGATCTATAACAGAAAAGAGAGAGGTACTGTAGTAGTTTTAAACTCTTACAGCACATGATCATATTGACTATGTAGTACGGATACACATTAGGTGCTCATCTATATTATACAAACAAGAGAGCTGCAAGTACCTCAACCAGTTTAACATCTGTTCCAGGTCCATCAGGCCTCAATGATGGACCTATATTATCTGCCACAGGCATTGAAGCATGTTCTTCAACCATCTCATTCATAATTACTGAATCAGAAATTTTCAATTTGATCTTCTCATCAGGGCAGATGACACTTGTACTTGAATTTTTCATAGCAATATGCTGCTCATTGTAAACAAAAATAAATTATGTTCATACCATAAATCAATATTATTTATTTATTTATTTTTGAAAAGAAACAATTTGTATTCATAAATCAATATTATGAGTAACACAATTGTTACTATTACAGAGATGTAATAGTTAGTAACATAATTGTTATAGAGATGTAACTGTATATCTATTACAGAGAAGGGAGAGCTTCTTGTACCTTTTCAGTTTTTTCAAGGTTTGATTCAGGATTTAAAGATAAACTCAACATTTGATTTTTTTCTGTGGAAGTAGAAGGCTGTTTCCTTACTTCCTCATATCCATTTTCTGCCAAGAGAGGCAGGCATGAATTTTTTGTCTCACTGGAACAGCCATTTGCATATTTTAGAGAATCTGAGCTGAAATATTTGACACTAGCATCTTCAGGCAGTTCAATTTGAAACTAAAGAGCAAAAGAGAAACAAAATGTTAGTACTGTAGAGCTATTCCCAAGTAGAAGGAATACGTCAGAGTTGGACCTAAGTTGAGCTCTAGAAGAAAACCTAAGTTGTGTTTTCAATAATGGTAAACTCTTACAGCACACAAACATACTGACTATGCACTATGGATACACATTAGCTTCTGATGTACATTATACAAACAATGCAGCTGCAAGTACCTCAACCGTTTTACCAAAATCTCTTCCGAATCCATCAGGCCTCGATAGTGAACCTGTAATATCTGCCACAGGTATTGAACTGTATTCATCCACCTTCTCATTGATGCTTTCCGAATAAACAAAATTCAATATGTCATTCTCATCAGGGCAGCTGATACTTGTACTTGAATCTTTGATAGTAGCATGCTGTTAAAATAAATAATAAATAAAAAAATCATGTCCAGACTATAAATCCTATTATGAAATTATGAGTGACAAATATAGAAGATAGGTTATTAGAGGTGAAGGTATTAAAAAAAACGATGAATCTGCAAATTATTAAACACATGATCTCCAGCACAATTTAAGAAAGTAAGAGAAGTGCTGTTTTGTAGCTACAGCACTACTTGATTTTCAGTTGCACAACTAGGATGCTGCAGATGCACAATCCCTGTAATTTAAATGCGTAAAACAATAATAGTGGATATGCGATTCATGAACTCTGCTTGCTCTCCAGATGGAAACACCAAATGGATCCATAGTTCTAGATGCCTTCTTTGCATTGCATAAATAATAAGTTCATAACTTGATACGAGACTGATGTGAATCTGATAGAAAGTGAAAGAAATCTGAATATAAAAAAAGCCATCTTAAGGTCATAACTCGATAGGCGCTTTCTACACTTCAAATGTGAATCTGATAGAAAGTGAAAGAAATCTGAATATAAAAAAAGCCATCTTAAGGTCAGGGTGATTTCGCATTGATGGGCGAGTAAGATGTTCTTAAAAAGTTATAAAGAAAAGAAGATCATGGCTGCAGCACGGCATGTCTATAATTGCATAGAAGGTTCAACTAATAGACACGTTTATTTAATCTAAATTGCAACACATGGCATAATTTTGCATTGAAATAATGAAAATGAGAGAAATGAAAACAGTGAGAGACACAGAGAGAGGGAGAGAGAGAGACCCAAACCTCAACTTCTAAATTTTGCACACTCTTCTCTTTATGGAACATAGATGCATCTTGAATCATTTTCTTTTCGTCTGGAGCAAGACCTTGGCCTTTGGGTTCCCAGTGCATAGTGCTTTCTGAATATGTTGTTTTCTTCTTGTCGCAGTATCCAGCTGCAAGTCTCAAAGAGTCTGGGCTGGAATACATGATATTAGTATTTGCAGGCTTTTCATCGTTAAACATCATGGTTGATGTTTTATTTTCCTCACAAGTAAGACCTTGTCCTTTGGCCTCCCATTGCCGAGTGCTTTTTGAATTACTATTGCTTGATGTTTTCTTTTTGTCATAGTAGTCAGCTGCAAGTCTTAAAGAATCTGGGCTGGAATCCATGATATTAGTATTTGCAGGCTGTTCATTGTTAAAGATCATGTGTCAACTGAAGGCAATACAACATAATTCATTGTTAAAGATCTCCTAACCTAAATTTAACCCTCTTTTTTTTTTTTTGCAGGGGGGAGGGGGAACATGTTTATTTATGTGAAATAAGTCGATAAATATTAAAGGACATTGCTCAGTTAACTATCGACATTCTGGTCATGAGACAACATCCACAAAATGTTTAACGTTCATTATGGTCTATGAATATTGCATGTTTAAGAAGTTTATGGAATAAAATCTAACAGTAAATCCATTTTTTGCTTTTATATTGTTGAAAAATTAGAGTCCGTTAATTCTTACTGAACTGAGGCCTCATATATATTTGGCATATGGTTCGATTCAGAAGCCATCTAGACAATACAAATATCAAGAGCAAAAAGGTTTTGAAATATGGCCCCAAATTGGTGTGAAACCTTAGAAGAAAAAGGTTTTATGAAAGAAATGATAAAATACAAAAAGACAACAAGAAGTCCAAAAACAAAGAGAACAAGGAGACCACCAGTCAACAGGATAACACTGATTAAAAGAGAAATACAGCAACAAAACTACAGCAGAAAAGCTATCCTAGAGCTGCCTTCCAATCTAGCAAAATAATGGACAGAGAAAGGTCCTTGAAATCTGATGGAACGGAAGCCCACAACAACCTAGCCTTCTCTCCTCTACCAAAAGCAGCAAGTCTTTCACTAAGCAATGAATGGCACCCTTCTGGAATTACATGGCTCACTCCGGCCTCCCTGAATAATAGATACCACAAACTTAGAGCTACTGGACAATGAAAAAACAGATGATCTGCACTCTCCCCTTTCATTTTACACATAATACACCAACTAGGAGGAAGACAACAATTAGGTCCCCTTTTCTGAAACAAATCACACGTATTCACCTTCTTGCACACCTGTCTATTTGACACAAGTTCTATTGTTAGGTGTTCTTTGCATAAATATGCTGCTAATTTTTTTTCTTTAATTCTACTTGAAGGGCTGCAAAGGTTCTCCATGAATCTTATTTCAATATATTCAAGCTATTGATAAGCAATTATGACTTAAAGCCTGGCCTCTGGTTGTATTATTTATTTCCCCTGCCCCCAAACCTTTTGCCCACAGCCAGGTCTGATTGTGTTCTACAATAAACACAACTAATAGCCACCGACTACTTGAAAGAGTCCCAGTTCACCTCCAAAATATTTACTTCAGAAATCCTTAATCACCCCTGAGCTTTTCTATATCAAAATCTGGCTCTTAATATTGCATTGTTAGTAATATTGTCAAACATCATGCATAAAATTAGTTACAAGAGCATCTGGAAAGCTTTTGCATGTCAAAGAGAAAGACAGTTTGAAATTATGATAACTTGAAAAAACCTAAGATATTACTGCAGAGTCATGCTACATTGTAAGCAGTCACAAACAGCTTATGTTCAAAGAGGAAGACTTGCACACAAAAATAAATGGTCCAAAGTAGCGCACCCTCAAGTTGTAAGCACATTCATCCAAATTTGAAGAATAATATAGTGGTATGAGTTCAACAATAAGGGGGATAGAGCTTGTCAAACCTTAATTGTTTTGGGGTCATTTGTTTTCTCTTCTTGAAACTTCAAAGTCGTACTTGTACATCTTTCTCCCTTAGTAATGCCAATTTCACCACGTTCCTCCTTTACAACACTATGTGAGTCAGATTTATTCAAGTCTTTGTGCCCATCCAAAAGTCCAGTAGCATGTAGTGAGGAATCTGAGCTTGAGTTTAAGGCAATGACTTCTGGAGTCTGCTTTTTGTAGAAAGAAAAATATGTATTGATTATATCAGTTCATTATAAAATTGTTAGAGGATCAAATTTCAAAATTAGGATCGTTATGAGCATTAAAAGCACTGGATTCAAAAACAGCAAACAAAAACCATGTGTATATAAATTAATAAACCTTTTTTAGTTGACCCATTTCTCTAGATAGGTCCCATCAAATACCATTCATTCCAAAGGTAACCAGATAACGTTTTGATCTCGAAAAATGCAGAACCAACAAACAACAAATAGGAGAAGAAAGTTTTGGCGGATAAAGAGGAGGAAAATCTCAACTAATCCAAACATGCCTTTGAAAAGCAATAAAGTGGGAGGAAATAAACTATCCTATGATTGGCAGATCTGAAGGTGAATAAATTTGAAAACATGTGACACTATAAAGGAGGCTTCATATAACCATGTCGAGTTCTTATTGCAAGTTTGCAATGACCTTTTTATCAACATTAAAAGTGAATACTCCATTATGGAGATTTTATTTGGAGAGAGATTCCCTATGGCATGCTGTCATTAAAAGCACGTACGGGATGCAAGAGAAGGGGTGGTATTCTAACATTGTGATTCATGGTTCAAGCAGATGCCCATGGAAAGATACTTCTCAAGTCTCCAATTCTTTTTCCTCTTGCTGTCAACTTGTGGTGGGTAATGAGGAAAGGGTGAAATTTTGAGAAGAGATATGGGTGGGGTAAACAGCTTTGTGCCATTCTTAGCTAGCTTGTATGGAATATCACAACATCATAATTCTTCTATTGGAGGGATGTTGGCTGTTCTGTTTTAGTAGAAATTTCAATATCAGGAAGCTGGGGAATTCATATCTCTAGTATCTTGGTTGGAGAGTGTTATGCTTGTGCATAATCCTTTTCTTTCTCATTTCCTTCCCTCTTATACAATATGGAACACCAAAATGCCTTCAAAGATAAGGGTGTTAGCTTGGATTGTTGCTCATTGAAAAGCTAATGCCTGTTATATGGTTCAAAGGAGAAGACCTTATCTCTGTCTCTCTCCTCATTGGTGTCTGATGTGCAAGAAAGATGATGAGAGCGTCGATCATCTGTTTTTGCACTTCCCAGTAGCATTTACTCTTTGGTTAAGGTTATGTAAGGGGGGTAATTTGAGCTGGGTGATTCCAACAACATGTGTGGCATTGTTTTGGAAGAAGCACAAGTATTTTGGAGGTAGGAAGTGGGATGTGATCTTGGGAAGATGCGGTATGTTGGCTATTATTTGGGTAGTGTGAATAAAAAGAAATAGATAGGTATTTGAGAATGCAAGGGGTGAGGAGATTGATTATTTGTGGGAGAGGTTGTGTTTCTGGGCTTCTCTTTGGGCATTGGTATCTTCGGAGTTAAGGAAGAGTTTGTTTTCTGTTATTTTATCAAACTGGAATGCTGTTGTTTCTTAATGTATTTTTTATTTTTGTCTTGGATGGTTTTGAGTCTTGTCCTCGGTATTGTACAATTGCTTTCATTAATAAAGTTCAGTTTCCTTTCATTTTTTCAAACATTAAAAGCAAAGACTAAGTTTTAATAGTCACCTGCTCATCTTTCACCGGGAAGTACTTTCTCAGAAGAGCCTTCAGTATGTCGTGTATATTGTCTGCAGGTTCTCTATGCATTAGTAACTGGACGTCATTATTATTCTCATCTTTACTTCTCAAATACCTTGTAGAAATGTCAAGCCAAGCAATCTTTTCTCTCAAGGCACTACCACATATTTCAGACCATTCTTCATGTTCAGCCCAGGCTAGTTCACTTTGAAGAGCCACCAAATCCTTTTCAAGTTCATCAATTTCAGTATCTGCCTTTGTTATTAATATCTTCAACACTTGTATGCAACATTTCTCATTTATTGCATCTTCTTCTATCAGATCTATAATCATAAGAAAAGACCAGTGTGGCTATTAAAGCACAAACAGGGAAAACAAGGAATGACACCAATGAAATAGAAAGAAACATATTATACCACTACCACAACCAAAGTAGAAGTCGCACTCCCATCCAGATTCTGTGCTGTAAGTGCTCCCAGGTGCAACTGATAAGCAAGCATTCAGTTCAGCTAACATTAGTACAAACTCTACAGCCACATGTTCCTAAGATAAGTTCTACAACAATGTATTTCTTCGATATGAAAACTAGCCAGCAATGGTGCAAGAGAGGTTAGGGAAACCTTGATGATCTGGTGAATCCCATAGATCCCAAGAGTCATATGGTGAACTCCATAGATCCCAAGCCATGAATTTCAAAGGTATATATATATTATCCTGAAATGCAAATACGACGAAGTCATGATTCTTTGACCAGGAGCACAAAGATAAAGTTCATTCATTTGATATAGAAGTTTGAAGCAAATGCTATAACTTGAAAGAGGGCTCAACCTTAGGTTCAGAATATCATGTCAACCAAGTCAAATTATCCAGCAACTTATTTTATGAAAATGGAACCCAAATCGTAATCAGCAGTACACCACTAGAAGTTTAATGAATACCTTAGGAATGAACAAATATGCAAATGGGACTTACATTTCAATCGTTAAATTAGAAAACAAACAACAAAGGAGTGCAATGACGAAAAGCTTAGCCACTGCAATATTTTAATATTTTTTATTACTTAAAAAAGCTAATAAAACCAAACAGTCATCCAGTTCTTCCGCTAAAAGCTACCCACAAACTATCAAGAAAGCGGGCAAAAAACTATAGCAGCAAGTAATCAGCGTTTGCAGCTTTCCCTCACCCCGGCCGGAAAAAGAAAATAATATATATAATTAGTATTATATAAAATAAATACATAAATAAAATAAAAAACAAAATAATCAACTCATGATCATCACAGAACTTTTAGAAACAGAACAAGCATGGAAATAGGAATAATAAAAATTAAGAAATTAGCAACCAAAAAAAGAAGAAAAAAAACGTAAACGTCTGAACTGACTACAAATTGTTGATGCTCAACTGTGCACACAACCAACAATCAATGAAATAATGAAAGCTCGTAAATGTGTATGTGAGTATCTCATCAACAAAAGATTGATTGAGAAAGTTCAAGCATAGTAGTTGAAAATAAAAGTTCTAAGCAAATGACAGAGTAAAGGAACCAAGGAAGATTACTTTCTAGCGTCGAGGCATGAAAAACAGAGCTGCAGTAGGTTGTGCCATGGTAAAAGTAAGGGAGAAAGTGAGAGAAAATAAGAGAATGTACCTTTCTCGGAAACCAAACAGAACGGAAGGACAGGGAAAATGGGGAAGAAAAAGACGGTATTTGAGAGAAGAGAAAAGCCGCTAAGAATCGGTGTGGAAATGAGAGCCCATTTTTCGAAAGAGAAAAATCTGAGAAAGCAATGCCTAGGGTTTCGCGGCGTTGAAGTTAGAGAGAGAAAATGCGTACCAGAGACGTCTTCTCTCTCTGTCACTCTCACTCTCTCTGGCTCTGCTGGTGACAGAAATGAGAGCTGCTGCTGCCTATTAAAAGCGACGAACTGCTGCTCGTTTCGGAAAGAGAGAGAATGGGTGGGAAGGGAACGGAATTTGTTGAGGGGTAATATGGTCATTTTAAGTAACTTTTTTGTTTTCTTTTGGTAAAAAGTAACTTCTTTCTTTCAAGGTTTTTTTTTTTGGTCGATTCTTTTAAGGTTCATTATTATGAGAACATGGAAATTTCCATCTCTAATTCACAATTTTCTTTTTTTTTTCACAACATTTTTTAAAATTTATATACATAAAATTATTTGAGGAATCCCTTAATAAAAGAGCATTGTATGTATATATAGTAGGAAGGAGTACAAAATATATGGCGTCCGTACGATAATAACGTCTGAATATCCGCATAGGAGAATATATATTAAATATGTTTATCATTTCTCATTTGAAGAAGGCTTATTTATGGATATGCCCCATGTGCTTTTAAAATAGTCTCAAATTATCACTTGTTCTTTAAAATATTTCAATCTACCATCTATACTTTCAATAAGTGTCTGACGTTAACTATTCCGTCAGATTTGAGAGAAGTTACGTTAGCTGATATGGCCACCACTTCTTTTCAATCTCTTAACAAAAGAGAGGGAGCATTAGTCAGGTTGAGAAAGGGGGAATTTGGGAGAAAATGTGGAATTTGGGAGAATAAGGTTAGGTTGAGGGAATTTGATTTGGGAGAAAATGGGGATTTCAGATTTGGGAGAAAAAATTTCATTAATTACCATTTCTTTTACAAAATACATAGTATCCGCACGATAATAACGTTCGAATGTCCGCATAGAAGAATTTCAATATATATATTAAAATGTTTATTATTTCTCATTGGAAGAATTTTCATTAATTACCCTTTCTTTTCCCTTTCTTTTCGTCGACTATAACGGGGCTAGGGATTTCATAGCCATGTAAATAATGAACAGGCCACGTCACGATATGTAGGCCCATAATACCATATCACCTAACAAATGTGCTTTCAGTTTTGCCACGTAATTACATGCTGAGGCCGAATAAATTTCACCTTGCCACGTAATTTACATGCCGAAGTCGAACAAGTTTCACCATTCCCAATTTCTAAATTTCAGAAAATTTAGAATGTAGGAAAAGTTATTCTTAGAGAAAAAAAAATTAATGATATTTGAGTTATTAATGATTCAAAAACTTTAAATATGAAGACTTCATTGTTAAAAAAAAATGTTAAACCAACAGGAGTTGGTCCAAGTGGAAGGGGCTTGGATCCTTTAAACAAGAGGTCCTGAGATCGATCCCAGGCGCTTGTGAATAGAGCGGACTTTGTTGGGAGAGGTCCCCGCTTTGCGCCCGACAGTACCTCGAGGGTTAGTCCCCGCAATCGCGCGGGGATACCTTGATTTTCAACACAAAAAAAAAATGTTAAGAGTCTGCTATTTTTTGTTTCAATCCCTCCCAGCTCACCACTCTCCCCCACACCTTGCAATGAAAACTTTTTTTTTTTCTTTTGCATTACACTTTTTATAGTTTTTAAAAAGGAATTTTTTATTTGTTCTTCAAAGTAACTTCATGCACTTGTGTAAATAAATGAATTAGTGCCCAGGAATAGTTTCAAAGTGTATTTAACAATTCTCATTTTAAAATATTTAAAATCATCGAAACTTTTTTCTGTGCCTACCATATGTTTGTCGATTACAGTCATGCAAGAGAGATTTAAAAGCCACGTTGTGATATGTGTAGGCCCAATATATCATATCACTTGACAAATACTCTATTCATATATTTTCAATCTTGCCACGTATTTTACATGCTCTGGTCGAACAAGTTTCACTATTCCCAATATCAAAATTACCAAAAACAAAAAGGAATATATATAAAAAATTATTTAGAAAGAAGAAAAAAAATTCTCACTAATGATAAAACAACTACTATATTGTTTCACTCCCTCCCATCACACCCTCCACACTTATAATCAAAACTAAGTTTCTATTTTTTTTTCAAAGAATTTTTATTTTTATTTTTATTTTTCAAAGCAATTGTTTTTTTTTATTTCAAAAGTAACCTCATGCATTGCTAACGGGGTCTCTGTTTTTTTTTTTTT